ATGTAGAGTCAGAAACAACACGCAGGTCCTGAGTATATTAGCTATACATTGCAGAATGTCTACCAGAAAGCATGGCGGCTAGTAGGACTCCTGCCTCATTGATGCATTTTTAGTGAGTGATATTTTATTTTAGTGAGTAAGAGAAGGCTTAAATTACCCGGATCATCTCCCACAAAACAATGTGTCCATACAGCTAGGGGAAGTTTATGGCCCTACATTTGCAGCCTACACCAACAATTGTGCTCACCTTCCAAAGGCACATCAATAGAACTCTGCATAGGCATAAGGATGTGTGCGTGGAGGGTTGATGGGTGAGGATCACTGCAGGATCTAGGATCTAAGAAGGAAAACAGCAAAAAATATTTGCTTTGATTATTTTGGTTTGGGGGCACGGGGTGTAAAAGTTTCTTGTGTTCAGTGTTTTATTGAAACCTTTCATTTTAAACAACTACTGTAGCTTAAACTCCAGTAGCAAATTCTTACGTACTTTTCCAGTCAACTTGAGTAAAATAACTAACCAATGAAATGCTCATAACAACGTTGTTCAATAATGTTTCCTCATTCAAACATTGGTATGTTTATCCTGATAAATGTACAGCAGATACCGTAATTATAAATGGCCTTGACAATTAGGTCAAGTAGAGGTTGCATGTAGAGGTTATATTCCCGTGGATATTTTGCCAAAACATGCTGAACAATTAGTAAAGCGAATGAAAGATATTGAGATATGCCTCTTAGGGATGGTACTTTTCACGCAGCTCAGAGACACTTTGACCTTCTAGTTTATTATGATTCAGGAAAAAAAAAATCAATATTTCTCAGCCTGACGGGGTTGGAATTTTAAAGAGCTATTGAGTCAAATAGTTAATCATCCAGTTTTTGCTTTTGAATTTACAGTAATAAAAACAAAGACTTAACTAGGACCTAAAAGATTCCAGTTTGTTACGTATGAAACTTTGTGTTTTATATTCATGTTTTAACCTGAAATGTATTCAGAGGTCCTATATTTGATAGTATTGCATTTTGGGTTAGTATGTAGTAGTGGGATATTAAATCAAGCTTGTGGTAAATTGTTGGTTACTAACTTTCTGTTTTTTAGCAACTTCCTTTTCTAATTTACCATGTTGAGCTTATTATGATTTACACAGCACAGTTTGGGGAAACTCTCATAATTGAGTATAATTCTAGTAATTACTCTTTGTACAGTGGCTTACCTGGAACTTTCCAGTCCCGTATAAATCATAATATTATTAGTTATGTTGTAAGCCTATGAATACAAAATCTTCAAATGCTACAATACTGCAATCTCAGTTAACCTCCCACGCCTTTTAAAAATATCACACAATAGATAAAATAAGTGTTCAGTCCATCATGTTCTATTAATACCTGAAAAGAAAGTTTCTTTTTATTATATTTACCTGAGGCCAAATTCAGATGGCCTTACTTATGCTGGGAAGAACCTTTGTGAATTTTACAGTGTCACCAATGGAGGAAAGTACTAACCCAAATCAGTAAAGTTATTTAAGCATATAGTCCATAGGTTTTGAGGTGCTAAATGAATTGCAGTCAACTTAAAGAGCCCATAATGCAGTGCAATCTAACCACAGTATTTGTCACAAGGACAAATCTGCACTTTGATTGGCTTCATTCACTCAAGAAAAATATTTTCTGTCATAACCTACACAAAAAGAAACTTTGGCCCTTGTGGTACATTGTCCCCTCCCTAGTTTCTATCCTAAACAACTAACTTAGAGTTGAAGCTGTTGGCCACCATGGTTCCTGCAGTTGCCAAAAGGGAATGCCATTCCTTGGCAATTTTCCTGTATTTCAAGGAAAAGCTCTTCCCCTATCTGGGGTGTTATTAATTATACAGGCCACTACACATTTGACCTTTCAATATTTTAAGTGGAAAAGGAAGAAAATAGCCCCAACAAAGTCATGTATCAGAAATGCAAAATATATGTACTGTAGCAACTTAGTCACTGCAGCTGTGGTTCAGTAAATACCTAAAGTATATAGAATCATAGAAAGAAGGACTGGAAGGGATCTGTAAGATCATTGAGTCAGCCCCCTTCCATGGGAGGAGGTAATTGGGATCAAATAAGCTCAATAAGGTATTTGTCCAGCCTCCTTTTAAAGACTGGCAGGGATGGTGATTGCACCACCTCTGCTGGAAGTGTGTTCCAGATTCTAGTTACCCATATGGAAACAAAGTTTTTCCTTATGTCCGGCCAAAACTTTTCCTCAACTAGCTTGCTTTGTCACATGTTTGTCATTAAACGAAATTCCTACATCTACTGCTATCTAAAACACCACAAATTTAAAATCTTTGCCAAATCAGGCCTGGAGAACTGTGCGTATATCTCCTGAAGACAGTCCCCATATCAGAGTACAGTACTGTCCACAAGATGACCATATGTAGTTGGAATCCTCCTATGCTATAAATTCAGAATAGATGTGCTGAAACAAAAGAATAATTAAATCCTGCTCAACAAAATGTAGTTAATATTTATTTTTTTCCTTTTCTAGTGCTCTATGGACAAGATGGCCTACATGCATCATGTGAAAAGAAATTCTGTGGTCGGGGAAGTAAGTGCGTGGTTAACAAGGAGACTGATCAGCCGCAATGTAGATGCTTAGAAGATTGCAAACCTAGTTACATGCCAGTATGTGGATCTGATGGCAAATTTTATGAAAATCACTGTGAAATCCATCGAGCCTCATGCTTGCAAAAAAAGAAAATCTACATTATCCACAGCAAGGACTGTTTCTTCAAAGGTAGGACATAATTTTAAAAATACCTATGTTTTGTCCATTATCCATCTTATCTTAACCTGATAAATAATAGGGCTGTGTGAAACAGCAATATTTCATTTCAACTTCTGTTTCGCCGTTTCAACAGGACAGTGTTTTGTTTCGAGTTCTGTTTTGTTTCATCAAAACTGTTTCATTGTTTCGACATTTTGCCCATAGGCTATAATGGGGAAGCATGAAACTGCCTATAACTTTGTCATTTCTTGCCTGATTCAGTTGAAACTTGAAGGGTGGTAGCCCCTTCTGAGGCCACAAGGCTTGCCAAGTTTTAAGGAGATAGGTGCAGGGGTTTCTGGGAAACTGCACCTCAAGCTGCTGACAAGCAAAACTTGTGATGTATGTGTTAAGGCGCAGCTGTTTTTCCATCCCTCCCCCAGATCACTGGGATTGGAAGGGACCTCAGGGAAGGAGCACACTCACTGGCAGGCCACACAGTCAATATGAGAGCAGTCCTTCCCCCCTCTTCCCTCTCCCTCTCCTTAGTTTCTCTTTAGCTGCAAGCAAGCACAGCTTCGAAACTTTTCAAAACTTTTGAAACATTTCAACTGCCCTCGTTTTGTTTTGAGGCTGTTTTGAACCCTTTCATATCATTTCGATTTCGCTGTTTCAAGCTTGAAATTAGTCAAAACAGTGTCAAAATGAGACACCCGGTGAAATTTCTCACAGCCCTAATAAATAACTCTGCTACATTTTCGACAAGATACATTTTTAAAGGATGATTTATTCCAAAACTCTGGGGACTGTAGCACAGCACTTTATGCAGTGGTTTAACCCATGAATACATACCCAAAATGTAATCAAAGTAGGAAATGGCAAATAACAAGATTACATATAGTGTACCTATTGTAGTAATGTTTTACATACTTTAGTTTCTAGTGCGATAATATTTTACTGTGTAATTTGTTTTGCAAAGCTTTGAACTAGACAAATGCATAAAAATGGAATAGTGTATTATATAAAGTGTGTCATGGAAAAAAACCAGAAAGTAGCCATTTTCTCCTACAAACAAATGGGAAGACTTTATATATTGCTTGCACGTGGCAGGAATATTCTCTTGAGGTTTGACAATGGATTATACTTTGGCTAGGTACAGGCATCCAAAAAGCCCGAGGCAGAATCAATCTAAGTTATGTGGTTTTCTGTAAGCAGTGTAGCTCAGGTAGTGAACAGAACACACATTGACCCTTTATGAGAAATAACATGTTGATATTGATGTGGCAGAGACGTTCATGATGAGAGGAATAATTAGCAGGTCAGTTCAACTCATACATTTTTTACCCAGTAAAAGTAAAACATACCCTAAGAATAAGTCCTCCATGGTGTAAAATGCTCTCTCAGAAAGAGTGGCCCAAAAGTTACAATTCACAAACCAAAATTCCAAAATGCCATCTATTTTGACAATGGCAGGGGTCACCAGACAATATAATATAGCTTTATATTGATCATTTGCATGGCTGAAAAAAATATGTATCTGCTATAGAAAATTATGGCCACAAATTCAGGTCTTGGAGAACAATCTGTTCAAACAATTGAAGTCTGGATTCTATTATCATTGGTGTCAGCAATTGCAGTTAACACAAATGAAGCTCTGCATGGGAGTTTACTCCTACCAGAGACTCCTTTTAAGGTTTTTTATTTTTATTTTTGTTGTTGAGTAACTCATGCATGCAGAAGAGAACTCCTGAAAAATGCTGTTCTTTTCTTTTATATTCAGCCAGATTCATTTGGCTTTCCTTTAGATATCATTGAAATTTTTAGAAACTGCTTCTTATCCTGTTAATTGAGAGAGATCAGCGACCCTACCTCTAGATAATTGCTGTGAAGAAACGGTGTCTGCCGGATTATTATTGTAAATGTCTTTCAAATGGTCTATTATATTAAGGTGTTATAATTGTTACTGAGTTCTATAACAACTTCCAGATTACAATAGAGTTCTAGCACCTGCCAACAAGTTTGCATCACCTATGCACAACTTGTACAGATTCTGTATTAATGTCATTATTAAGACCTGATTGAGGCTGGCGAATGTTTATTCAGACTGATTTCAGTAGGTCTACCACACAAATATGCTGGAGCTGGAGCAGCAGTTCTAGCAGCAGCGGTACCTGTCAGTGTGCCAACCGACTTGGGACTAAGTCAACAGAGGGGCATGAGGCACAAGGGCTTCTGTGACATCACAAGGGAGAGGCCCCCCCCATGACTCTCTGCAGGGGAAAGGGGCAGCACAACATGGGTAGGCCCTTTGCTAGTGGCTACCCTGTGCTCTTCCCCTGGGGCAGGTTTGCTGGTTGGGCAATGCAGCCCTGCAAGGGTGGGACATCTTGCTGCCTGCCCAGGATTCAGGTGGCCTTAGAAGCCCACACTGGGGCTCCTGCTCAGGACAGCTGGTGGGCTGGGACTACGTCTGTTCCCAGTGCCTGGAACAGCTTTCTCTCCTCCACCCATCTCCATCCCAGGCAAGTGCCCAGCCTCCTTGCCAGACACTGCCTGTGGGAGAGGTGGCATGAACTCCTGGGGGCTCTGCACAGTTCATCCAGGGCAGGTGGCACAATGCAGGTGGGGGCTTGGCTGTAGATCAGGCAGGCCAAGGAGAGAGCCTGTATGCTTCCAACATTGTGTCCAACTCCCTCAGGAGCTCACGCAGCCTCTCCCATGAGCAGTTCTTGGCAGGGAGGCTAGGTGCTTGCCCAGGACATAGATGGATGGAGCAAGGAAAGCCATGCCAGGAGGTGGGGGAAGATGCAGTGCCAGCATGCCTGTTGTCCCGGGTTGGAGTCCCAGTGTTGGCTTTTAAGGGTGCCTGAATCCCGGGTAGGCAGCAAGGCATCCTGCCCCTGCTGGGCTGCATTGCCAGGCCAGCAAACCTGACTCAAGGGAGAGGCATGGGGGAGCCAGTAGCAAAAGCAGAGCGTCACAGGGAGGGTCTTCCCTTGTGCTCTGACAGGAGCCCTCGTGCCTCCTGCCCCTCTGCTGACTGAGTCCCAAGTCAGTCAGCGCACCAACAGGTAGTGCTGCTGCTGGAACCACTGCTCCAGCTCCACTGTCTGCACCTTGGAGAACAGCACTTGCTGCTTCTTGATCTTAGTGGTGCCTGACAGCCATGGGCAACTGGTGCCTCCTGAGCCGGGGGGCGGGGAGGGGGGCACCCACAGAAGCTGGCATCAGCATCGGCATCAGCAGTGGGGATGGAGCTGGAGAGCACCTGCAGATCCACCAGTGACATCAGAAGCAAGGATGGGCCTGTCAGGTGGGGCATGTGCCGCCCCCACCATGGTCCCCCTACCAGTCGCCTATGCGAGCAGCAGTACAGGGCCCTGCAGGCTTGACTCCAGCCGGCTCTCATGCTGGGAAGACAGAGTGGGGTTAGACCTGGGTCCAGGCCAATTGCATCTGGGGGGACTGAAGACTCCCATCCCCTCTGCTGGTGCTGGGCTGCACCACCCAACTAGGCTGCCGAGGACTTCAGGTGGCTGTCCAGGGCGCTGACCAGGGCAGGCTACAAAGGTGTTCACCCAGTGAGCTGCATTAAGATGCCTTAAGGCATGCACATGTAGACACACCCCTAAATTGGCTTAATGCACCTTAGGCTAAGGCACATTAATTTTAGGCATGCGTAAATTCCGGTGGGGTCATTTGCTGCACTGCAATGCACATGCAGATGGTGACCAGGTGAGGGTTAGACTCCTGTCTACCACTGAGCAACATAGCTCAGCACCCTCATGCCCCAGCCAGCCCCTCCATTGCCTGCTGCTGCCATCTGGAGCCCAAGGCTGACACTCTATGCCACATGCCAGCCTGGCTGTGCTCTGTCCCAGCTCAAATTGTTGCTGTTCTGGGAGCACGTGTAGATACTGCACCCAAGAGCAGTTTACTTTAGCTCAAAGAGATCTGGAATGTATTGCTTCACCTTAATTTCACATGTTGTTGCACCCACTGAAGATTTAGCTGCTCCATAATAACTCATAACTTGTATAAGCATAGCTGACCACTGTGGGCATTTCTATTTAATACATTAGGTTCCAATCCTTTAATTATATCTACATTGCTGAACAGGCTCCAAATAAAGCCCCACTGAAGTAAATGAGACTTTGCGCTGGGAATTCTCTGTGCAGATTCAATTGCAGAATCAAAGCTTTAGATTTAAAATCTCTGAGACAGGGACCTTCTTTTACTCTATATTTGTGTACCACTTCACATAGTGAGGCATGAAGCCTTGATAAGTCTTTAAGTACCACCACATTTAAGATATAATAATGGCTATTAAGGCAGATTTTAAGGATTAAAGAATTATTTTATTGTTATCTGCGGACAGTTCTTTCTGAATCCCTTTCCATTTTTATCAAGGGGCCATGGAGGGAAGAGAGCTGAGTCTATGACTTTTATAACATTTTTTTTCCAGTTAATGTTACTTGGCAAGTTAGGTTGCACTAGCAGAATCTATGTGATACAATGCAGCATACAGGAATGATCACAATTTCCCCATGTACTTTGACATGTTGTAAGGGCATGCAGTGCTGAGTAGAAAGGAAAGCTGAAAATGAGTTATCAAAGGTAGATCCATGGACCTGAAGAAAGCAGAATGTTCCATATGTTTCCAATGATAGTTATGTGACCAAATGGAGGAATGCAGAGCTCTTTGAATGTGTGCAGAACCATACTTCACAATCTCATACCTGTTATTAATAGTATTGTAATAAATCCCACAACCCTAGAAATTAGCATGGGAAGCCAAAAGGAAGGTTCCAGATTTTGTACTAAAATGCTGAGGATTAGGGCCACAAGCCAACAGAAATAAACAAATACAAATAGATAAATATTAACATTTAAGTACAGGAACCCCTCATTATTCGTGGGCTTGGCGTTCGTGGTTTCAAATATTCGCGAATGCTGAACCCATTTCTTAAATACGTGCTTGCCATCACCAGGCTCCCACTGCTGCTGCCGGGCTTCCGCCACTGCCAGAG